CTAGCAAATTAATCAAATCTAAGGAGGTGGTTGGGAAGATCTGACCCGTAGCCAAGTCAAAAAGAAGTTGTGAGGAACCTGGGGACCTACTACATGCGATTGGCATCTGAAGTGGGGTGGGAGCAGTCTTGTGGGACTAGCCCTTAACCTCTGGGGTCTGACACTATCTCTAGGAAGATAATGTTAGGATGGAGTTAAGTTGTAGGACACCCAGCTGGTGTCACAGAGAATTGCTTGTTGTGGGGAAAAACCTCACGTTTGATGACCGGAAGTGTCACAAGTGAAGTGTTCTGGGTGAGAGTAAAGGAGACACATAAGAAGGAAGAATGGGGTTTTCTCTACTCAGGGAGAATACTAGGTTTTCCCCAACACATGAGCAAACATTACCAACTGGAGTCAGAGCCCTCTGGGTTCTCATCTGGCACGTAAGGAGCTCAGAAGGTGACATCCCCATCCTCACCAGAAGAAAGCTAAGAAACAAAATCAATGACTCTTCTTAGATCTATCAAAGAATTGAGGTCACAGGGCAAAGTGCTGTCTCCGAAATTGGAAAGAGAAACAGAACAATAGCCATTTTGAAATATGCCCACAGTATTCTGTTTTCTTAAGGCCTGTCCTCAAAAGATTGTTTCACCAGAGCTGAACAGACTGGATTTTACCAGCACCTGACTGATGTGGGGGGAGGGAAATAGCCAACTTGAGTCCCCTCTAGCCTTTCTGCTGGACCTAAGTTGAGGGTTAGGGGGGACTTAGAAACACTTGTGAGGTTCATAGGTTATTTTTTCCTCCCCACAACAAATACGTGGTGTGTTTTCCAACACCACTTCTCCAACTCTCTAACACCCACTGGGTGGCCCAACTCAATTCAATTCTAACAGTAACTAATCAGAGTCAACATCAGACTCCACAGTTTAAGGACCTAGTCCCACAAGACTGCCCCCATGTCAGATGCCAGTGCAAATGGGGGGCCCAGGCTACACACATTTCTGCACGGCCAACTACAAATTCAGAGGTTCCCTAGACATGTCCTCATGTTTGTTAATTGGCTAGAATGACTATCAGAATTAAGAAAAGCACTTCACTTATTATTACCAGTTTATTGTAAAGCATACATATTGGGGACAGCCAAATAGAAAAGACGCACAGGTCAAAGTGGGGTGCGGGGTAGGGAGCTTCCATCATGCCCTCTCCAGATACGACAGCCTCCTAGTACACTGATGTGTTCACCAACTCAGAATCTCTCTGAACCCCGAGGTTTAGGGGTTTTGTTGGAGTTTCCTTATGTAGGCATGACTGATTAAATCATTGGCCATTGGTGATTAACTCAATCTCCAGCCCCTCTCTCCTCCCCAGAGGTTGGAGGCTGGGCTGAAAGTTCTAGGGGTCTAATCAAACCTTGGTCTTCCTGGTGACCAACCCCCATCCTGAAGCCATCTAAAGGCCTGGAAACAGTCACCTCATTAGAACATAGGATGCTTCTATCACCCTTGTCATTCAGAAAGTCTAAGGGCTTTAGGAGGTCCTTGCTAGGAACCATGGAAAAAGACCAAATATCTGTTTTATTATACCAAAGATGGTCACAGCCTGGGACACAGGCTCTAAAATACTGATACCAAATCAAAGGACTATACAACACTTCCTCTCCACCCGTAACACACCACTACATCAGGAAGCCTCCTGTGTAATAATAGCAGAATATACTGAAAGAACTGCGTGTTTCAGAACTTATTTAAGAAGCCTCTACGGAACCCCAAAGATGACATGGGAGACAACAGCAAGGATATTTTAGCCTCTGACAGCTACACCAATGATAAACACAGCCTAAGCCCTAGTCAGATAAACATAAAACCTCACACTAAAGGCCTATCTACTTCTGTCCCTTTCTCACAGTACATCATGCCCAGTATTCAACAAAAAACTAAAAGGCACACTAAAGGACTTAAAAAACACAGTTTGAAGACATAGGACAAGTAAAGGAACCTGATTCAGAGGGAGCAGATATGTTGGAATTATCAGACCAGAAATGTAAAGCAACCATGATTACTATGTCAAGGGCTCTAATGGAAATGGCGGATAACATGCAAGAACAGATAGATAATGTATGCAGAGATGGAAACTCTAACAAAGAACCAAATTGGAAATGCAAGAAATGAAAGACAAATAAGAAAACAGAAATGAAGAACTCCTTTGGGGGGTTCATCAATACAGTGGAAATGTATGAAGAAGAATCAGTGAGCTTGAGGAGATGTCAATAGAACCTAAACTGAAATGCAAAGAGGTGAAAACAATAAGAAAGAACAGAAATCCAGGAACTTTGGGACAATTACAAAAGGTGTAACATACACATGATGGGAATACACGAAGGAGAAAAGAATAGAAAGACATAGAAAAAAAAGGTGAAGCAATAATGACTGAGATTTTCCCAAATTAATGATAGACACCAAAGCACAGACACAGAAAGCTGAGAGATCACCAAACAAGAGAAAAACCAAGAAATGCACACCTAGAAGTACAATATTCAAACTGGAGAAAAATCAAAGAGAAAGAGAACATCTTGAAAGAAGCTAGGGGGAGAAAACCTTAATTATAGAGAATCAAGGATAAGAATGAAATCAGACTTCTTTTTTAGAATCCACGCAAGCAGCAAGAGAGTCTTGTGAAACAGTTAAAGTGTTGAAAGAAAAACCACCCAACTAGAATTTTGTCAAGTAAAATTATCCTTCACAAGTGAGGGAGAAATAAAGACTTTCTGAGACAAACAAAAACTGAAGGAAGTTGCCACCAGTACACCTGCTTTGGAAGAAATGTTAAAAGAAATTTGCGGGCTGGCCCTGTGGCATAGTGGTTGAGTCCAGTGCGCTCTGCTTTGGTGGCCCGGGGTCACGGGTCCAGATCCCGGGCACAGACCTACACCACTTATCAAGCCGTGCTGTGGCGGCAACCCACATACAAAATAGGGGACGACTGGCACAGATGTTAGCTCAGGGCTAATCTTCCTCAAGCAAAACAAGAGGAAGATTGGCAACAGATGTTAGCTCAGAGGGACTCTTCCTCACCAAACAAAAAAAGGAAATTCACCAGGAAGAAGGTGAATGATAAAGAAAGGTAGAGTGTTAGAGAAGAAATAAATGAAAGTGAAATAAATTCATTTGTTTTTAGTGTTGTTATTTAATCTGACAGGTAACACTTTGTCCAAAGTCATAATAGCAACAACGTATTCCACAATCCTAACTTATAGATAATGAAATGAATGACAGCAATGGTATAACGGACAGGGAGAGAGGACTTGGAATACTCTGTTTTGAGGACCTTGCACATCCAGTGAAGTGCTATGGTGTTACTTCAGAGAGGGCTTGGGTTGGTTGTACATGTATACTGCAAACTCAAGCCCAACTACTAAAAAAATGTATAATTGAATGTTGAGAGGAGAAAAAAAAGAATCAGGTAAAATGCTCAATAAAAGGCAGAGAAGGCAGAAGAAAGGCGGAAGACAAAAAGAAACAAAAAACAAAAGCAACAAAGAGAATACAGTGAAAAATAGAGTATATGTGAATCCAACCATATCCGTAATCACCATCAATGGTCTAAATACAACAAGGGAAAGAGAAAAACTGTCACAGCAGATAATAAAATAACACCTAATTATATGTTGTCTACGAGAATCACATTTTAGATATAAAGACATAGATTAAACGGATGGAGCAAGATACACCATGCCAATGCTAAACAAAAGACAGCTGGCACAGCTACGTTAATTTCAGACAGAGCAGACTTCAGAGCAAGGAAAATTTCAGAGCTAAAGAGGGGCATTACAGTCATACTGCATAATGATATTTGGTCAATGACGAACCACATATGCGACAGTGGTCCCATAAGATTAGTACCAGATAGCCTAGGTGTGTAGTAGGCTATACCAGTAGGTTTGTGTAAGTTCACTCTGTGACGTTCACACAATGACGAAATCACCTAATGACGCATTTCTCAGAACGTATCCCCGTTGTTAAGCAATGCTTGACTGTACACAATGACAAAGGGGTCAAGTCTCCAAGAAGACACACAAATCCTTCATGTGTATGTGAATAACAACAGCGTGGTAAAACACATGAGGCAAAAACTGAGAACTGCAAGGAGAAACAGATGAATCCACTATTATAGTTGCAGAGATCAACACCTGCCTCCATCAGTAATTAGGAACTCTGGCAGGCAGAAAATCAGGCAAGACATAGTTACATTAAGCAGTACCATTAAACAAGTGGATTTCACTGAAATCCATGCAACACTTCACCCAAACACAGCAGAATACACATTCTTCTCAGGTTCACATGGAACATTCACCAAGATACACCACATTCTTGGACATAAAACACACCTTAAATTGAAATTTGAAAAAAGAAAATCATCCAAGATATGCTTGAAGACCACAATGATATTAATCTAGAAATCAATAACAGAAAGATAGTTGGAAAACCTCCAAGTACTTGGAGGTTAAATACATTTCTAAATAGCAAATGGGTGGGACGGCCCGGTGGCTTAGTGGTTAAGTGCGCACGCTCCGCTACTGGCGGCCCGGGTTCAGATCCCGGGCGCGCACCGACGCACCGCTTCTCCGGCCAGGCTGAGGCTGCGTCCCACATACAGCAACTAGAAGGATGTGCAACTATGACATACAACTATCTACTGGGGCTTTGGGGAAAAAAAGGAGGAGGATTGGCAATAGATGTTAGCTCAGAGCCGGTCTTCCTCAGCAAAGAGAGGAGGATTGGCATGGATGTTAGCTCAGGGATGATCTTCTTCACACACAAAAAAAGCACATGGGCCAATAAGAGAGTGGTATCAGCAAGATGATGGAACAGGAGTTTTCTACCATCATTTCTCCACAGTGCACTGATTTTGACAGCACCAAGGATGAGAGACTTTGGGAAGTCTGGAAGTCCTGTACACCAGTGGAGCAAAAAATGCAAGAACAGACATCATGAAGGGGCTAAGAAGAACAGTTCCACTTTACCCACGTCACCCCTCCCCAAAGGCAGCACAGCTCACTGCTGAGAGAGACCCCCACGGCCTATGATTCCCCCCTTGGGGAAAGTGAGAGTGCAGTGACTGAGTACTGGGATTCCTCAGTGGTGTGGGACGCTGCCGAAGAGGCTCACCGCTTCCTCGTCTCACCAAGAACACTGAGGGGATCAGCAGGGATGAGTGTCTGGAAGGCTGGGAAGAGTTGCAAGGACCCAGGGCAAACAGAGCTCAGAACTCAACAACTGGCTGCAGACACTACTAACCACTCCTGGACTCCATCAGGAGGCTTGCATTTCAGCCACGTTAGACGCAGTGCCTGTGGACACTACCAACTGGCCCATGGACACGCCCAATGCTCTGCAACCTCACTCCCCCACACCCTCCCACCCCATGGCCAGCTCCATCCTGTGCTCCAGACAGCAAATGGAAGCCTCTCCAACATCTCATAAGCATACACAGTCAGCTGGCTCAACTCAGTGGGAACGGAAGAAGACACATAAATTTGAGCATTTCAGAGGACTGCACCTCGGGAAAACAAACTGAAGGCTCTCAGCACCCGGCCTGGCTTTGAGGGGTCAAAAGAAGGCATACGATCTTTCGTTTTTTTTTTTTTTTTTTTTGAGGAAGATTAGCCCTGAGCTAACATCTGTTTCCAATCTTCCTCTTTTCTTTTTCCTCCCCAAAGCCTCAGTACATAGTTGTATATCCTAGTTGTAGGTCCTCTGGTTCCTCTATGTGGGACACCACCACAGCACGGCTTGATGAGCAGTGAGTAGGTCTGTGCCCAGGATCTGAACTGGTGAACCCTGGGCTGCTGAAGTGGAATGTGCAAACTTAACTGCTATGCCACCGGGTGGGCCCCAAGGCATACAATCTTAAGAATTCCCCCTCAACAGAGAAAAAGAGGCGTGAAGCAGGCACATTCCTAGGAAAGGTCTAAGAGAGCCTCAGATTCCCTAGCTGGGCTGACTGGTGAAAGTGTTTCTCTCCCTAAGCCAGTCAGTAGAGGCGGGAGGAGGTGACTGCTTCTTCAAATCTGAACACAGAAATGCAAGACTCCAAGGAACACAAAAACCAAGGAAAAATGACACCACAAATGAACACAATAATTTTCCAGTAGCCTATCCCACAGAAACGGAGATCTACAAGTTGCCTGATAAAGAATTAAAAATAATTGTCCTAAGGAAGCTCAGTGATCTTCATAAGAACAGGGATAGTCAACGAAATCAAGAAAACAATACATGTACAAAACGAGAAGTTTGACAGATAAATAGACATCACAAAGAACCAAATAGAAATTCTGGGGCTGAAGAATACAATAAATGAAATGAAAAATGCAATAGAGGGCCGGCCCCGTGGCTTAGAGGTTAAGTGCTCGTGCTCCGCTGCTGGCGGCCCGGGGTTCGGATCCTGGGCGCACACCGACGCACCGCTTCTCCGGCCATGCTGAGGCCACGTCCCACATACAGCAACTAGCAGGATGTGCAACTACCACATATAACTATCTTCTGGGGTTTTGGGGAGAAAAAGGGAAAAAAATAAATAAAAAAAAAAAAAACCCATTTAGAAAAATGCAACAGAGAACCTCAAGAGCTGATGACAAATCAGATGAAAGAATCTGTGAACTTGAAGACTGGTCATTTGAAATTATCCAGTTAGAGGAGAAACAAAGAAAAAAGAACGAAAAGGAATGAAGAAAGCTTATGGGATTTCAGGGACACCAGTAAAAGAAATAATATATGCATTATGGATATCCCAGAGAAGAGAGAGAGGAGAGTAGAAAGCTTATTTAAAGAAATAATGGCTGGAAACTTCACAATTCTTGGGAGGGGTACGGACATCCAGTACATAAGGCTCAAAGATCCTTAAACAGGTTGAACTCAAAGAAGACTTCACGAAGATGCATCATAATTGAATTATCAAAAATCAAAGACTAAGAATTTTTAAGGTAGCAAGAGGAAAGTGATATGTCACATACATGGGAACCCCAATTAGACTACCAACCGATTTCTCAGCAGAAACTTGGAGGACATGAGAGAGTGGCATGACATATGCCAAGTGCTGAACGTGCCAACCAAGAATGCTCTACTCAGCAAAGCTGCCCTTTCAAAATGAAGGAAAGAGAAAGACTTCTGCAAAGAAACAGAAGCTGAGAGATTTCATCACCACTAGACCCGCCTTACAAGAAATGCTAAAGGGAGTTCTTCAAGCTGAGATGAAAGGATGCTAATTAGTAACATGAAAACATGAAAGTATAAAACTGGTCAAAGAAACTAAGAGTTGGTTGTTTGAAAAGATAAACCAAATTGACAAACCTTTTGCTGGGCTAAAAGACTCAAATTAATAAAATCAGAAACAAAAGAGGAGAAATTATAACTGATACCATAGAAATACAAAAGAATATAAGAGATTACTATGAACAATTATATGCCAACAAATTTGATAACCTAGAAGTACTGGATAAATTCTTATAAAAATACAACCTTCTAAGACTGAATCATGAAAATGGAAAATCTGAATAGTTCAATAATGAGTAAGGAGATTAAATCAGTAATCAAAAACCTCCCAACAAAGGAAAATCCAGGAGCAGATGGCTTCACTGGTGAATTCTACCAAACATCTAAAGAAGAATTAATACCAATCCTTCTCAAACTTTTGCAACAACTTGGAGAGGAGGGAACACTTTCAAACTTATTTTTACAAGGCCAGTATTACTCTGATACCAAAGCCAAAGGGTCTACAAGAAAAGTAAATTACAAGCCAATATCCCTGAAGAACATAGATGTAAAAATCCTCAACAAAAATACTAGGAAACCGAATTCAACAGCACATTAAAAGGCTTATACAACATGATCAAGTTGCATTTATCCCTAGGATGCAAGGATGGTTCCACATATGTAAATCAATAAATGTGTTATAACAAATTAACAAAATGAAGGATAAATATCATATGATCATCTCAATAGATGCAGAAAAAGCATCTGACAAAATTCAATATCCTTTCATGATAAAAACTCTAAACAAACTAGGTATAGAAGGAATGTACCTCAACATAATAAAAGCCATATATGACAGCCCACTGCTAACATCATACTGAATGGTGAAAAGTGACCTCTTCCAGAACAATGGCACCTGGCAAGGAACTGCGGAGAGAGGAGGGCACCATCTCCTGCAAATAGGCTCTGCCAGAGGGCTCAGGCTTGGCTCCATCATGTCTTAAGGAGGACTCAGTAGGCATGCTGAGCTCATGAGGTGCCGTTTCCAGGTCCCAAGTCATAGTGGGCAGCTGTGTGGAGGGTCACATGCTCAGGGCCTGGGAGAGCCTCTATTTTCAGGAGCACATAGTACCTAGTGGTAACTGCAGCCCTAATGGCATATAGCGTGGGCCAAGGAGGGTAGTTTCTTGCACAGAAGTAAAATTTATAAACAAAGAATATGTTGCCTTCCAAACATCGAAACAACCCAGGAGACGTTGTGTATGCTGAGAGGGATAACAGCTATTTCTTAAGAGTGTCAGGGAGGGAGCGGCCCCTTGTTTACCAAATAATTTTTAGGAATTTAACCAAGGTATCAGGGCCTCACATTACATGTGGGCTAGTGGCCCATCCACTTTTCAAGAGTTCCTTTTTTCAACATTTGTATGATCTGAATGAATGTCAGATGAACTTCCTCAGAGGAGGGTGTCATTAGTGTAACATCAGACCTGTGCCCCTGGGGCAAGGGGGACGCAGTTCAGATCTTGCCTGCAGAGGCTGTGCGCAAAGGCAATGGTGTTGAGGTTCCCTGAGAGTAACCCCGTAAAGGTGTACCGTGTCCCTTTAGAGGAGGCCAAGCACAGCCGAGAGGCTGTGGACACAGCACTGAACAGAACAGACTGAGCCGAATCTGTGAGAGCAGAATGTTTACCAGGTGCTGACTGGGTGGAGTCAGTAATTTCCATAACGTTGGGGACAGGGTATAGGGCTCTATTTGGTTTGGCCACAGCCTCCAGGTTGCAGTAATCCACTGGAGGTGTCATTCATTCCTTCTAGACTTAAGAACAGGCCAATTTCAGCGGTTCAAAGTAGAAACGCTGGGGATAATCACTTCTTCCTAAACAGTTTCTTACAATAGTTTTCAATCCTTGAAGGCTCTGTTTAATTTATATTTGGCCATGTGATGTAATTTACCTGGGGGGGGGGCTAAGGTTTGGGGTGTTCCATTTTGTCAAGCCAATTTGGAAGTGACAAAGACTTCATTTAATTTTAATTTATGAATCATTGGTTCAAAGCTTTGCTGTTCACTACAGGATATTTTAGGACAACCGGTGCTCTGACCATGGAGAATTTAGGCAAGAGAATAGCTGGCTGATGTTCTAGGTGAGACATGCCTGTTTGTTCCCTATGTTATCGTCAGAAACTCCCCTAAGGTCATCCAGGGCACCTCACTTACATTTAGTGGGATCCCAGGTATAACTGTAATTTGAAACCTAGTATTGATTAACTGCTTGAAGGTTTGTGAATTACTGCATTACATCAGAGCAAAATTAATTCAGAACCTATGCTGTAGAGGCCCCAAAACCAAACAGGGCCCTTTTATCTTTTTTGTTGTGTAAATACTTTCAGTATATTCTGGATTTCCAATTGGGTCAAATATGGACCTTTATTTCAGTAGTTTATTCTTTTGTTCCCTCTCTCTTGTCCTTCTTTTTTTTTTTTTTTTTTTTGCTTACTGGAGAAACTTGGGGGAGGGAGTGTCTTCTCTACCCTGGTATTTATACATTTTTCCTCCTGAGAGCCACAAGGCACTGCCATCAGGGTTAGGAGCTTCCTCCATGACAACTGGTTGCTTCATAAGGTTTAAAGACCCTGGACTTAAGCTAGGTTTGAACTAATCCTTTGGCTGTGCTACACAGGTGCCCTGGGTGTTGTCCCCTTTAACCTTGAGAGTCAGGGTCTTTGTTGCAGTAGAGGCAGGAGCAGCAGCAGCAGCAGCAGCAGAGGTACTTGTGGCT